TGGGTTTCAATCCCCAGTACCAAAGGTGGGGAGGGTCAACTGTTAAACATATGTTTTCAGAGTGTCCTATTAAGTGTAGGCACTTAATAACTAACACACCACAGAACATTACTTAAAAGCAATAAATGTATTTGACCTAATGAACAAAATGATGGATCCCATTCTAGGAAATTGAGTCCACTAGATAAACTGGAGTCTTCTTTAAATGTCATTTGTGACAGAATTATACAAAATAACCCATCACTCCATTAAGGTGAGTTCTTACCTTGATCACAAGTTGACCAGTTCATTACAAATTTATTACCACTGACAAACAACCAATAATCAGCATCTCATCCTACTGAATGGACCTTTTTAAAAATGTTTAGTTGCATATGAACCTAATAACTCTACTTTTTTTTTCTTTTTAATGTGGTGCTGAGGATCAAACCCAGGGCCTCACACATGCAAGGCAAGTGCTCTACCACTGAGCCACAATCTCGGCCCCTGAATAAATCTTAAAATATATATATGTATTTTTTTCCAATATCCACTCAAACTGCAAGACATTTACTTGATCTACACTTAAGTTTTCATGAGTAGAATAATAAGAAGACAAGTATGTAATGAAAACTTAAAAGAGGCACCCTCAAATGTTCAGAGAATAAATCAAAGGAGATTGTTCTTGCCTTTGTTATTAAAAAATATATCCAGTTTAACCTGCTATTTAACCTAAACCTCTGAAGTCCAAATGCTTGGTCTTTGGCTTTCCTTAGTTATTAAAAGTTGTGGTCCGGCCATTTTTTTAAAAAAGCAATTCATGTTTTTTCCCTGTCTTTTGCCACTGGCTAAACTCTTTTACCCACAAAAATAAGGAATGCCCAAGCTTCCAGCTTCTGAAAATAACATCTGGTATGTGCACCTAACAAAAAGCTTGAGAGAATGTCCCGGTTTTTTATTTAAAACTTTTTCATTTAAAACAGAATACCTTTAGCAATGATTAGACATAAATCTTTTTTACCTTATTAGGAAACTGCTGATTTCAACATTTACCTTAAACCACAACATGGATTTATCTTCAGAAGTTAGCTTCCTGTCTCTCCCCCAACTACATTAGACTAATTTTTTTCGTTTTGTTTTTGGCTAACAAGGAACTATTAGACTCCATAATATGTTTCCCAGCTAATATGTTTCAAAAATTTAAAGATTCTACAAAGGCATAAATGTTGCCAGCCTTAAGGATTTCTCTAATTTTTAAAGGTATTTTAATAAACACAGGTATCATTAACTGTTAAAAACTTGTACACCAGTGGGTTCTCACGTTTGGTCCTGAACTCCTAAGAGTTTCCAAGACCCTTTCAGGGGATCCAAAAGGTTAAAACTATTTGCATGAACAATAATAAGACATTACTCTTATTGTTTACTCTTGTTCTCTCAGGAGATAGAGTTTTCCAGAGGCTATATGAACTGTAGTATCTGAGAAACAGAATGCAGAAACAGATATGAGAATCAATCAGCTCCTCTATTAAGCTAAACAAAAGGAGTTGCAAAAATTTAAATTAATTTCATTCTTTACTAATTTTTGCTTTGAAAAACATTTTACATAAACTGTAATTTATATTAACAGGTACTGAATCTATTGTTACTTATAAGTAAATTAACAAAACAAATTTTTGCTTTAATTTCTAATAAAGCAATATCAATAGGTATAAGCCACACATGGGCCTTTAGGGTCTTAAAATTTTTTAAGACCATTAAGTGGTCCTGAGAACAAAAAGTGTAAGAAGCACCGTCGTATACAATTATATGACACAACACACAGTGCCTTCCAGGGATAAGAAGCTCAAGTTAATTCTGAAATATAATTACTACTTACCACCCTAATCTTGTTGAGTTCTGTATCTCCTTGTAAAGCATAATTCAGCATAAAGCCAGTCTGTTCTGGGCTCCATTTAATGGGCTTTAGATATTTAGTTACTCAGGGTCTTCTTTATAAAAATGTTCTAAGCTGCAATTCCACCTATTATCTGGACAGTGTAGAACAGTTTCTGGATGTTTTCACAAAAATTACTTTTGTGTGAAAAACAGCAACCTGTGAAGTAAATGAAAAATAATACTTCCTCTCTTTTAACAGATGACACAACAAAACTGATACTCAAAGGAATCAGAACTACTTGTCCAAGGATGTATTGCTAGCTAGTAGGGCCTACGATGTTGGTCTTTTGCAATTTGCTTGGCTATCTCGCTTGGGTATAATTGCAAGCTCCCAAAGAAAACAAGGCAAGGGCATTACTTTTATTGTCCCAGTGCCAAAACAGGGATTTTTCTCTCCTTAATAAGAATGTAATCAGACTCAATATCCAGTCACAGCATTATTCAACACACTGACTACCCATTTGGTCCTCTACCAAAAAATAAATAAATAAAATTCAAGAGTGTTGGAAAAAAAAAAAAAAAACAGAACACAACGCTCCAAGATGATCAGTTAAGGACTCCCAGATTTACCAATCATTTAATCATTGAAACAACAGGCAGGCAAGAACAAGATCAAGCTTAACACAATAACACTAGATTATATCAACAAATGAATGCCAACAGGCTAAAATGGGAAGCACAGATGGAAAGGGTTCAATTCACAATGTGAATTGAAGACAAAACCCAAACAAGGTTGAGAAACTAGCTTAATTGGTTTATAAATCCAAGCAAGTGACTAGAATCACCTTTGCAAAGCAGTGTCGGAGGCAAATTTTCTTGCAAGATGCAAAGATGTCATTCTATCCCTTGGACATAAATCACCCATCCTTTAGTTCTAAACATACTAGTTAATTCTTACCATCAGAATAAGTCTCTCTGTTTTGCTCCATTTTAACTTACTGAATTCCTTGATCTCCTGCATCGCTATTCTACAACTAACTGGATTCTCTGATAGGGCAAGACTGATTGACAACAGGATATTTGCCACTAGCATAATTCTTGTCTTTTTTTTTTATATGATTGTGTCAGTGAAGCCATTTTTAAGTTTGATGTGATTTTACCTAGAAAAAGTCAAAAGTGTGCTAGCTGTCCACTTTGTATTGAGCAACAGTAATTGCTCCATTCTTGGAAGGTATGTTTTCCTAGTATTTTATTTTCTTTTCCAAATCTCTTTTGGAAAAAAATTAAGTTCCAGAGCTATAGCTAATGTGCCACCAATCAATTTGAAAAGCAATGTGATACACCCTATTTTTTTGTGCCACACTCAACATTTACTGTTGAAGATATATGTATAGGTTAAGAGTTAATTTACCCAAGTTTCTGCATTCTCAGGAAAGAACTACAATACTACACTGTGAAACCAATTAACTAGTTAATTTTTAAAGCCTACATGTAGAAAAAGACGAGAGTTTACAAATACAAGCAAAGCATCAAACGTCCGAGAGTTTCAAGAAACTGCAGTTATTTCTATTCCTTAACCTAAAGTATGTTTTTCTTTGTAGCTACATTTTCCCCCATCCTTTAAGAAGCAATCTGCGAAGGAGGAGAAGAAACCTGCCAAAAGTGTTAAGCATTCTCTAACCTATCTTCCCAGTCCAACCCAAGAGAAGTGTCACACAGCTAAATCATACCATCGCTATTTCTATATTTCTTTAAACTCGAGATTTCGGAAGTGTACAATTCAAATGTGAACGCTACAACCCTGGCTAATAGTGATCATTTTAAAGCTAATAAACAAAGACCAGCAGCGGCACTAGGGCCCTACCAGGAAGTAATCAAAGCAGGGTGGCCGGTGCGATCCTAAGAAGTCAATAGAGCAGACAATGAGAGGGCACTAGGGGTTCCAAAGGGGCCCGCAGAGGGAGTTAGAAGCTTAAGCTACTCAAAAGCATTACATAAACCTAGTAACTGTTTTACAAGAACTCGAACTCTAGAATCCAAACGCAATTCCAGACAACCCAAAATTGTGTCTTTAAACAATCTTAGGCAAACTCGAGCCACCCCTCCAAAAGCAGCTGTTGGCTCAAGCTTTGGAGCTCTAGAGCCTACAGCCTGTTTTCAAACTTCACCCTCCCAGGCTGATGAAAGATTCCGACCTCCGCCGCCCGAGCTTCTGAACGCCTCTCGAGGCTTCGGGTTGCCTGAGCCTGTGGGGAAGGGAAATAAAGCCCGGCCGAGGCAGGAGGCGGCGAAGGGCCCCGCGCGCCCCACAGCCCAGACAAAGCTGCGTCAGGAGAGCTGCTTTTTTTTTAAATCCTGTCGGGTCCACCGAGGAAACCAAGTCGGGCTCCGCCACACGTGCGGCAGCCCGGCGGGGGCCGGACACCGCCCCCACAACCACCGCCCCCACAACTGCCGACCCCGCAGTACCCGCGAGCACAGCCCCCGAGCGCCTCAGGGCGGGGCAAGGGGCGCGAACGCCGGCCAGGGTCCCCGCCCGCCGCGGCCCCGACACGCTCGAGGCCCCCGCGGACTCCCGCCCCTCGCCGGCCTTTCCTTCGCCGGCCGGACCGTCGGGCCGCGAGAAACAAAGGAGCCGCCGCTGCTCCCACCCGCGCCCGCTTCACCGCGTACCCCTCCCCAGCGCGTCGGGCCAGGCTCGCCCTCACCCGTCCCTAGGTCCGCGCACCGGCTGCCTGCGGCCCTTAGACGGCAGGCCCGGCAGAGCCGGGGCCTCGGGTGCGCGGCCGGCCGGCTCGGGGCCGCACTCACCGCTGCAGCACCAGGACGACGGGGAGCCGTTGGGGAACTTGGCTGAGTCCGGAGCGATGCAGACGCTGGAACTGAGGTGCGGGCACTCCATGGCCACGAGGACCGTGGCAGGGAGGACAGAGGCTCCGGGGCCGAACGAGGCGGGGGCGGAGGGACTCTGGAGGCTCCGTCTGGGGTCGCTCCTCGCCGGGCGCTAGGCAGACAGCGGCTGCGTCCCGAGCCCTTGCGTCAAAGAAAGCAAGGGCTTCCGGGCGCCGGGTTTTCCCGCCCGCCCTCTCTCAGCACTCCGCTCCGAAGAACGTGGAATTCCGGGATCCGGGTTCTGCCGCCACCTCTAGACCCGAGGCTTCCGCCTTCCCGGTCAGGCCCCGCCCCCAAGGCCGGCTCCGCCCCTGTGCACTCCCGCGGGTGGGGTCTCCGCGCGCGCTACCCTCATCTGATAGCTCAAGTTCCTGCCGCGCTTGGAAGTGACTTTCCCAATTCCGCTCCCCTGGGCGGCTGCGGCTTCCCTGACTCAGGGAAGGGGGCTACCGGGCCCCGGCAGACAAGTCCGGTCCGCTGCGTCTATCGGGTCCGGCGAAGGAGACTGATATTGCTTGGCGTGTTGGTCTGACTACAACGCGGCTTAGTGGTAGAAAAATCTGGCCACGCAACAGAGGGACAGAAAGAAAATACAAACCACTCGGGCAGACGGGCACCGTAACCCTCCCATTTTACCAAGCAAGAAACAAGCCCGGGGAGATTAAGCCTGGCCCCGTGTTTGCGCCAGTGGGCTGCTTGGGTCCCAGAGCAATCTAATTCTGTCCTTTGAGACAGGTGTGGTTCTGAGCCGGTTCTGAGTTCTGCGCACACCGCCGTAGCTGGAAGATGAGTGGCTGGGCCCATTGGGGCACCCACGAACCTGGATTCAGACCTTGTCACCGTGATTAACTTTCAGCGTTACCACGAGCATGTCGTCCTGAACTTTACAAATCTCACTGCTGGAAATTTAAGTGAAATACATGTAACCTGGTTTTCGAGGTCCCGCCAACAGGTGATAAAAAGGGAAGGGATCTAACATTGTTAGACACGCTGAACCGCTTCCCTGCCAGGCACTTTGCAATACAAAATACCTCATTTAAGCTTCGCTACACCCTACAACTGATGTTACGTTTCTCTTTTTACCGCGGGAGACATCGAGTCTATTAATTTGCTAATCCGTGCCGAGATTAGGTCCTCTGCTCTCTGGCCTATTTTAGAAAAGAGTTTATGGGAGGGCAAACCTCTAGGGGCTGCTTGGATTCGCCTTACACCGGAGCCGGAGGAGCCTGCGACTTAACTAGGGACAGTCTTAAGGACACCAGGGCTGTTACAAATATTGCCTCAGAAGTTTGGGCTCCTTGAAAACCCGTGAAAGGAGCCACAAGGCCAGAAGGCAAGCAAGGGGAGGGGGAAGACTGATGTAGCAATTCAATGGGCAGAGTGAGGGGGGGGGGGAAAGGAAGGTCCGGAAATGATTAACTGGGCCGGGTAGTGGTTAGAGTGGGGCACCTCCCTGAAGTGCAATCTTGGAGCAGCCCAAGGTCACTCCCTTGGTCACTTCTCACTACTCCCTCAACCCCAGCAGTCCTCTGTTAATGGTGTCCACCTTCCTGCAGCATCTTTGAGACCTTTCCCCCCCTTTGTTTCTTCAAAGTTCCTTTGCCCTTTTTCAAATTATATTATTGAAGTTATTGCAGTGAGGAGTTGTGGAAAGTGCATAGGAAGCCAGGTAAGCAAATGTTCAAATCTTAATTCTGCCATTATTTGGTGGCCAACCTTAGCAAGTGTTTTTAGTCCTTACCCCTCCCCCAACCTTTTCCTTAATCTGTAAAACTGGAAAAATAATACGTATCTGAAAAAGAAATTAAATCACGAGATTTACTACCATGTAGTAGGTATTAAATATAGTTTTGTTTATAACAGCAGTTGTGGGATGCTTCCCACAGGATAAACAATAAACAATAATATCTAACCTTTGCTCAAGCTCTTCCATCTATCTCCTCCTACCAGCCTATTTATCTTTCAGGCTGGGCTCAACCAATCTTCTGTTTCTCTCAGGACATGTTCCCCATTTGGTGTCTATAGCCCCTCATTTGGCCATGGAACAGTCTGACTCATGCTGTCTTATACTGGTATGTAATGTTACTTTTTTTCACCCTCTCAGAAACTGTTTCCTAATCCCCTAAACCTCAGTTTAAACACCACTTCCTGCAGGGAGGCCTTTTCTGACCCTGCTCCACCCCCAGGGTACCTCCCAGGGTGTGATGCCCTTGACTGCCCCCACACTGCCTTTATAAAACATTCTTCTGCATGTAATTATTTGTTTAATGTCTGTCTTCCCCTTGGAGGTCCGTAAGGGTAGCAAACAAGTCTGTCTGGTTTCCTGCTTTATTTCTAACATAGTATGTAGAACATGGAAGGTGTCCAATAAATAAAGGGTTCAATGAATGGAAGAGTGGGTGAGTGATACTTTAGCAATATTTAGGAAGAAAGGAGTTTAGGAAGTGCCTATATATATATATATATATATATATATATATATATATATCAGGTATTTTCCACCTTGAGAGTAAACTGTACATTTCAATTCTGAGTTTGTGATTTTAAAAGGATCAGACATGTTAAAGCATCTTGTAAGGTATAAACTGCTAAAACAGATATATTAGTATTATATATTATAGTATTATTGTCATCTCTCCATAACCAGAATAAAAATTCCGTGGAACAGGGGCCCTATTTTGGCCATTCTTGATTTTGGTCGTCCCCTAAAGGGTAGACTCAGGCAGTCCAAAAAAGTCCAATGGAATCAGAGACCAGTTTCCTGGGGCTTTTGGTAGCCTGCCCTAAAACAGAGAACTTTCCTGTGTCTTTGAAAGTTTTCACAGTAAGAAAAATTTGAAGGGGGGGGGGGGACCCCTCAGTGAGTAAATGTGTCAAACGGGGGAAGGCCATGGGGCACCCTGGGAAATCTGCCTTTTCATCCATGGATTCTGCAGCTGCATTTAATACAACCTTCGCTTTTTTGTTCTTGGCTGGCATGCCTTTGGCTCCCAAGAGCTCCGACTTACATACCAGCATGCCCAGATAGTGAGGAGGGAGCTTCCATCTCCATTGCTTTGCACCACTGTTTCCACCACCCCATACCCTACCCAGCCCCCTGGACATCTGCTGGGGCTACCAGCCCAAACACCTGCCAGAAGCAGTGGGCCTATTTTAAAAGTGTGCATTTTTTGCACAGGGGAGGAATGCGCAATTCCAACAGTACTATCAAATGATTCTCGTATAAAGAATGTGTATATACATTGGAGTGGGAAGAAGTGAAAGAAGGGGATGTTCCCAGATGCATAAGAACTGTGATCAGGAAAAAGCTCAAGGTTGCTGCAACCTGCCAAAAATTTAGATTTGTGACTTATGGTAGAATCTGTGGTCCTCAAGAATTACAAAGCTGACCAGGCCCTGTGAAAAAGTAGCTCTGACTATCCCCATTCAGGTAAGACTGATTAGAAACACCCAGAGAGCTGGCTTAAATATTTACTGTAGAGATTTTTCTAAGAGCAAACCTCCTTGGAAAACCAAAGTTAGATCAAGAGGAGGCTTCAAAGCATTGAAAAGTGTTGGGGGTGGAGGAGCATCAGCTCAAAAACTCTTCTATCACCAGGTTTCATTTTCCTAGCAGCACTGATCTGATATTTTGTTGCTTGTTTACTTATTTATCTATTATCCATCTCCTCATGAGATTGGAGACCTTGCCAGTCTTGTTCGAAGCCTGATTGCCAACTCCTGGAATACAGCTTGATATATGCCAGGCCTCAGTAACTATTTGTTAAATGACTAAATAAAAGGGGAACAGGGGAAACAGCTCAGAATCCACATCCTCAAGGCTCTGGGTTCAATCCCCAGACAGCAAACCCACTCACCCATCCCCCAAAAAAGGGGTGATGATGGGCATGGGCTTCAGCCGATGTACCCTCACTTTCTTACCCAAGAATATTGGTGGTGTCATTCTTCTCACTTCTTTCCATTCACCCCTTTCACATTACCTCCCCTACATAGTCACCTGTCACCTCCCTTTTGCTAAAGTTTTTGTGTGTTTTTAAAAAAATTGTTCTAGCAGTACCTAAAATCATTCTCCTATTATACATAATGTTCTTCCTCACCACTCTGTGCCCTTCTCATCTGGTACCCTTCTACCTGGCCACCTCCTTCTCCTCCTTCATTAAACACAGTGCCTTCTCAGGGCAATCCTCCATCACTCACCCAAGCTGACTTCAAAGTCTTCCCTCACTACCACCCCCACCACCCCCATCTTCTGTCCCTGCAGTTTGTCACAGAGTGCTGTTATTTTCTGGTCACATTTTGGTCTCACTTGAGAGGTGTTTTTATTTTCATCCATGTTCTTGGTATTGAGTAAGCAACAGCAGATATTAAAACCAATTATATTTGTTGATAGAGGTTTTCGTTTCTTCTTTAATCCCTGGACGATAAATAATACCACCTTCATTTTACTAAAATGGAGAGAACTAAAGCTTAAAGAGGGTTAAATAATTACATACATTTGTATAACTAGTAATTGTTCATTTATCAGAGAAGGCAAAGTTTTTATCCTTTCTGTACATGGTCATCTAAATGATTTTGCAGTATTATATGAAGTTACTGATGAGAAGGAGTCTTAGAAACCACAGGACACAGAAGAGCCTTCTGAGTAAATAATCATTATGTTTACTACCACTGTAATAATTATATCAACATCTTAATTTGTATTGCCTTTGCTTTCCTCTTTATCTCTGAGAGCCTCTTTTGTGAAGATGAGGTTTTCCTGTTTAAAGACCTCTTTGCAGATAAAATACTGATGGATTAAGCACCACAGAATGGCTCTAGCACCAAACAACCCCCAACAGGGAAGGAGTCACTGCTTTCCCTGGCCCCAGTCTTTCCATTTGCAAAATCTGAGGTTTGAACTTAATAATCACTCTTACATGAGTGAGCACCCACAATCTGTGATAGCTCATGGCCACCTAGTGACACTAACAGAAGGAAGACCATCTCTCTGTGCTACGGCAGTGATCACTAACTATTCATCCCAAATCTGTTTTCTTTTCCTTTTGGGTTCACAAATAGTACTTTCTCTGCTTCTCTTGCAGTGAGGTGTTCCTGTCAATGGAATCTAAAGAAATCACAAGGTTCAGCCTTGAATAGCACTGTGAAGAGCCACCCATGACTCAAATATTTCAATGTCCAGTTTGGTTTATCAGCACATAGAGGAAAATATTAAGCTAGGCCCAGAAGGAAATATGGGTCTGCTAAGCTTCACTTATGCCGTTTCTGTGTTGCCCCTTCAATTCTTCGTTTATTTAATCAGCAGGTCTGCCTGCACTCTTATCATTTGCTAGTCACTGGTAAATGCTTAGAGCTATGTGGAGTCCTCCTCTACAGACATTCCTCTGCCACTATCAAGAGGAAGACCACTGTGGTTTTACTCATTTTCTCTTGATTGCTAATTGCCTGATTGGTATATCCACACCTCTGAGTTTCCAAATGTTGTCTAGATTTGGGCCTTAAGCCTTTCAATGGTGTAAATGACATCCTATGTAAAGGGCCTGCTTGGTGCTTGGCATACAATAGACCTTCAATAAACATCTGTTTCCTTGAGACCTTAGCAGGTAGGAGAATTGATGTGGGAGGTCAGGGATGATGGCCTAATACCACTGGTTCTAGTATAGCTGGCACAGAAAGTTAGATTTTTGTCCTTTTAAAGGGCTCTGGAGGGCTAGGGTTGTGGCTCAGTGGTAGCACTCGTTTAGCATGCGTGAGGCACTGGGTTCAATCCCTAGCACCACATAAAAACTAAATAAACAAAATAAAGCTATTGTATCCATCTCAAACTAAAAAAAAAAATAAAAATAAAAAAATAAAGGGATCTGGACCAGGTCATTTGTTCAACTGATATCACTGATATGCTAAGCTTTGTGATACAAAAATGAGCAACACACAGCCTTATTCTCAAAGGGATGAAGAAAAAGGTACAAGACAGACACCAGCAAACAGGCAATTGCAACAGTGTGATAAGTGCTAGGAGGGGAAGTACAGGATGTTTCTTAGCCACAAACAAGGACAGAAAACTAACCCAGGCTGGTGAGTGGGTGTTGAGGTGGAGGAAGTGTCAAATAAGACTTCCTGGAGGAAGTGGCATATAGCTTGGGACCTGCTTGATACCCAGGTAAAGAGTGTGAAATCAGGGTAGAGAAGGGAGCATAGTATCTCAGGCAGAGGGAACAATTGCAAAGGCTCAGAGAAGATCTGAGACTGCTGATCCAGCTGGAGAGTTGGGTACAAGGGGACAGAAGGCTAAGAGATGAGGCTGGCAAATAGGCAGAAAAGACAGGATTTATAACAAAGAACTGCCAACACAGAGAAATTTGGGTCTTCAGGACACTGGCATCTCAGGGTTACACTTTGCCAAGTCCTAGGAGAAGGGATGAAGGGGCAAAGATACAGGAAGAAGAAAGGAACTAATAATTATTAAGCATCTGTAAGGCATTCAGCTGCATTAGTCATCTGGGAAATGCAAATTAAAACCACAGAACAAACCTAGCCAGAAACAAACAAGCAGGGGTGAGAATGAAGATATGAATCCCGCCCCCCCCCCCACGCACATACACCCCATCTTGACCAGATCTCAGAACTGTTCTTGAGGAACTTACAGTCCACTGAGAGGAAGAGGCAAACAATTTTTTTTGGGCGGGGGGCGGTGCTGGGGATTAAACCCAGAAGGCAAGCACTCTACCAACTGAGCTACATCCCCAGCCTCCAAACACATTTTAAGATATAGAATTGTGATGGAGAAAGGAATGCTAGGCATAGAGAACCCCAACTCTGCTGCCTCCTGTTCTTTCTTAACCTTCATGTGACAATTTAGCTATCCAGAATATTTAGTTATCCAGAAAACAAATTTCACAAACATCTAGAACATACATTTTCATAGTCTGAACTCTTCAGTGATGTACTTTATGAACTGAAAAGAAGCAGGGCTTTGGGGCCAAGCAGGCTATGGTCCCATCTCTACCACTGATCTGCTGTGTGACATTAGGCCAGCATCCTGGCCTCTCCTGAACATCTATGAAACTGGAATAAT